CACCCTCCCCCATGAAAATGTGACTTTTTTTTTTTTTTTTTTCCCTCGTATAATTAATCGGTATTTGAGTTGCCTCATAAATCATTAGAGAGAGTTAATTACCAAATCAAAGTGGCATGTCCATGCAAATTGTGATTGACCCGCGCTCACCTGCTGGAATAGAACAAGTTTCTAACCTCTCAGAGGCTACTGGCTTGTTTTTAGTGCTTTTCCCAGTTTATTCCTACATTTCCTTCCCCTATTCCCACCCAATAATAAGGCAGTGTGTGGCTTTGCGACTCGGCACCCGTGATCAGAAGTTCAGCAGTTCAGATGCCATGGTAGTGATTTCATTGCTGGGTCCTTGAACGAGCCCCTTAACCCCAATTGCTCCTGCGAGGGACTGATAAAACTGCATGTCGCTTTGAGTAAAAGCAACAACTAAATGCATGCAATGTAAGTGCTTTGTGGGCGACCCAAAAATGGTGGGGAGGATCGTCAGCAGATGGGCTGTGCAGGCGAAGCGAGCAGCTTCTCGGGCTCTGAGCGGAGAGCCTGAGAGCTGACATCTTAGCTGGCTTGGACACCTCACGACGCACCCCTGTATCCTCGTTTTGCTTTCTTGAAGCTGACACTTGTGCCGTTTGATCCTTCTCCATAACCTGACCCGACAGTGAGATGGCTGGGTTCTCCGGTTCCGCCTCCACTCTTCCCTACAAATTCTGTCTTCTAGGAGGAGATGAAGAGCTGCATCGGTTTATGACAAAATGTCGGGTGACTTTTGTTGGATTAACTCAAATGATAAACTTGTCTAACAAACTGTATGTTTGTCTTTAATGGATGGGGAACGCGATATATGTAGTAGCTCGTACTGATAACCACCACAGAAACCAGTCTTGCCAGTTTACATCCAGCGCTGTAGTTCTATGGTTAATGGGAGTCAATGCGGGAAAACCGCTGCAGGCCGTAGCCCTTCATTAAGTGACTGGGATGGCATTTCTAACCTCTGTGTTCCCCCCCAACCCCCCGCCAGCTGACGCCCAGGGAAAAAGCCGCTCAAAACTACAGCCAGAAGCTGAAGAGCAAGTTCCAGCACCACCCGCAGATCCGCCGCATCGCCCACCACCGACACCTGCCCAAGGGCGTGTACCTGCAGAAGAAGGAGCTGCAGGTCATGACGGCAGCCCGCCGTAGGAAGTGAGTGCCAGCCCCCCCCCCCCTCCCCCGCGCACGCTCCCTTCCATACCTGGCTGTGGTAAAGTTAAGCCAAACCCCCCACGCAGTAAGGGAATGGTGGCCCTCGGCCTCCTTCCTGCCGTGGCGGCCTTAGCGCCCGAGGGGGACGTCTTGCCGTTGCGTCGCCCTGCTTCTCCGGGTCAACTTGGCCCCCGTGCCTTTGCGACTCCCCATCGCCCCCTGCTGTCCTTTCTCCAGCCAGCTAGGGATTACAGAAGGGCTCCGCTGTGGCTTGGCTTTTCCTCAAAGCACACACCTTTCCCTTCTGACGTTTCGCTCGCACCTGCCGGGCCACTGCCGCAGATGGCCGCCGGCTCACCTGGTAATGGCGTTTTGGAGATCCTATTACGCCGGCTGCTGGAGGGGCCCGTTCCTCTGCTAGCGGAACGCCGCCGACCCACTCCCTTCTCGGTCAGGTGGCGCTGAAGGAGCTGCGGAATGTTCTAGTGCTATTATGTCACCTGTTCTGCATATCGTTACCATTTTTTCGGAGATTCCCCAGTCGCTTTAGCTTTGCGTGATGGATGCTGGCGCGTAGCGTTCCCACAGGCACGGTGGTCCGGGCCCTTCTGCGGTTCCAGGTGCTGATGAGTGGGATCCATCTGTTCCCCGTCGGTCCATCTGCGATCAGATCGAGGCTGGCGGCTGCACCTAGTGTTTGAGGGTGGTGGGGGGTGGGTGTTGAGTGGATTCCCTGTTGACGCTACCCTGTTCATAGCTAAATGGGACTAACAGAATCTGTATTTCTTCTTCCAGGGAGAGGAACGTGAAGAAGCACAGCAAGCCGGGTTCCATCCCCACTGTGGCCGAGAAGGAGAAGAATATCGTGGCTGTGGTCAAGTAAACACCCCCATAACCCCCCCAGGCGTCCCCCCACGGAGATGGACAGCAGCCACTGGTGTGGAATACGCTTTCCTCTCCAGACTCTTTCTGCGAGGATTCCCAGTCCCCCCCACCACCACCACCACCAGAATTTGGAAGAATTCCTGTTTTTCTTTTCACCAACTGCTAAAGATTTGCTGGGTTCTGTGTCCCCCCTATTTCTGTAAGGGCTCTTTTGACTCTGTTGCTCTCTCAGTGGATGGGCTAGTGGTGGGGGGGGGACTGGACATGTCATGAAACAGACCAGCTCCTCGAAAGTGCGTATAATTCATCGAAGAAACTGAACACTGACCCTGGGGGTAATGGGTATACGGATCTCCTTGCAGGGTACATATCGCATGCAAATGCTGTAACCCTATTCCCTCTCCGCTGGCATATTGCTGACCTGTTTGTTTGTTTTTAAATCTTGTAATAAAACTTGACTATAAATGAACTCAAGGCCACTGTGGTTCCAGTCAGTCCTTTAAATGTTGGTGTTGGTCCAGTGGCGATGGTCATATCTGGATCAGACATGCCATTTATTTTTATTTTTTTACCTCAGCAGTTTTGCTGTCTCTTGGTCCACCTGTGTCCCAGACTGGAAATGGTCTGATCCCCTGCGTTTTCCCTACAGTTGTTCTTTCTCCACTTCTCTAGGCTGATTACCAGCTTTGTTCATACTTCCTAGTTCCTGACCTCTTACCTACTATGCATCCAAATTGCTCTTTTTCTTTTGAGCTCATTATTAAATTGGTTGCCAAGGCAAACACTCGTCAGGTGAAGAGAGCCGTGAACGCCAGATGTTGGGGGCGAGTGTAAGTGGTCGCCACATCAGGAAAAACGAGACAGGCTTGTTTTGCGCTTTATATGGCTTTGAAATTATCTCTGACAATTACCTCTTCGAGGCGAAGCCCCGTCTCATCGGCTTTATGTTTGTTTTTCCTTAACCTCTCATTACCTTTTAAAACTGGCCTTCTAATAATGATGGTTTTCCTGATAGTGATCCGAACTTTGCGCATATGATAACTTTTAAACAAGGAGCGTGCACTTTAATCCGCGGGGAGGAACAGGGTTATTAAAATGCAACGACAAAAAGCGTTATTATCCTTACGGTTTAACACTCAGTTGACCGGGGGCTTCATAAATAATTAAAAACACAGAAACTCGATCGTGAGCTTCTTTGTATCTCATTATACTGAACGCCAGCCGGATCAGGAGCGATAAGTACGCGGACATGTGGCCGAAACTAGCCGATCGCCAGAGATCGTGGGAAAATCTATATGTTAGTTTGAAGCGTCACACTTATGTTTTACAATATACCTGATGTATAAAAAATAAGTAGTAACAAGAACAGGCGTATTAAATCCTGATGCTGTGTGGTTATTAAATGCGTTTCCATTTCTGGTTTTTGCTTAAGCGCACTGTACGTCACCCTGCAATAAATTTAAAATTTTATCCACATAACCTAGAATTACCAAGTCCACAGCAAGGCTGACATCCAGTCCACGTTTTGGAGGCGATTCCCATTCGCGCTGTCAATGGGCGAGCATCGGGTCTCCCCTTCCGCTACCTCCCCGGGATCCGCTCATCTTTGTTCTACGTAGATGCGTCGCTCCGCCTCCCCTCTATTTGGATTTTTTTTCATTGCATCCATTTTTGTGCATTTAAGAAACCTCCAAGAATCAACAACCTGGAGGAGACCGTGAAAGAGGGTGAGGAGGAGGAAGGACGAGGAAAACAACTGAAAAAAAGGAAAAAGACGCCCCCTCGATTCAAGATGCGAATAACATCTTTCTAGAAGATGACAGCAATGGGTTAGACGGGATTTAACATGATTGCAAAATAAAAAAAGGCAAGAGCTTGTTCTATTCGTGTACAGTTGCATCAGTGGACGCAGTGAGAAGTGTGTTTGGGATACTTTCGGAATGAATTATACTCTGATAACGCGGAAGGGCTTTTCTGTCACCTTCTCCACATACAGGAATTGTTTTTAAAAGCAATTGTATGAATCCGAGAGTACAGCTGTCGCTCGGTTATCATCTTCAACGTGGCCGATGGTTACCAAATATGTCTCCTTCTGGTCAATGCTAAAGATGCCTTTTACAAATTACACTGTTTGCCCTTTATTTGCTATGCCATTCGAAGTAAAGCGTGTGCTTATTTTTTTTCCTATTTCTTTTACCGGCGATCTATTTCATTCCTTGAGAAATTTCAAGCGTACATGACCTCGTGTTCAAAAGTCCCCTTTAAGTTGCCTTTTTAGTGCTTGGTTGTGTTTTTGACATCCACGGATGTATTCGCGCATGCATGCATTAGGACATGTGTGTCACCGTACGCGTGAGCTATACGCAAAGTAAGTTAATTGTTGTAAACATGTTTCCTGGCACAGGGGTCTTTGGAATCCTGTATCCGGCCACTGGCTATGAAAATGTGGGAGAATGATAGGCTACATTTCGCCTTTTTTGCATCACGTTTTCCCACCCGCAAACCGAGCCTGTCATATTGCTGGTTGTTGATCTTTTTAGCAATTGTATCGAAAGATGTCTGCTCCACTCGGGCCCCGGGGCGGCCCCGCCGCTCGTCCTGCGGCTGCAGAGCTGCCCGAGATGCCGGATCTAAGCCATCTAACCGAGGAGGAGCGAAAGATCATCCTTGGCGTAATGGACCGGCAGAAGAAAGAAGAGGAGAAGGAACAGTCCATGCTAAAGTAAGACATTTCATAAGCTTATGCTTTTATTTTTAACGGGAGAGGGTAAGGGGCATGTTAGTTTGTGGCATGCTGAGACTGAATATCCTGTAACCTGCGTGTAATGCAGCGGTAGTTTGTGGAAATGCCGGTGCCGGATCACTGAATCTGACTTTTACTATTACTCTGGATTTCGTTTCTTGGGATGAATTTGAGCTGTCTGTGTCCATCTCTGTCTCGTAAAGTCCACTAATGCTTCATCTGTGTATGTTTAGATTTGTCCTATAGTTTGTGTTTAGTGAAAATAAGAAGTGAAAACTGTCTCGAAATATCATGAACAGGGATGCTGATCGAGGCGCCATTTATTGTGTCGACGGACTGTCATTTGATTTCGTGACGTGTTTGTGCCATCATCGTGCTGTCATATTTAATGGACATATGTGTTAGTTAATATCACAGGCCTCCTTTTCACTGTTAGGTTTGGTTTGGTTTAGTAGTGGCCGCCATCTTCAGTTAAAACCGACGCGAGATTTCGGTTTCTCAAGTATTGCATGTTGCGGAGCGGCACGGCTCGGTCCAGCTGACACGATGCTGAGGCCGGGTGCGATAATCGGCGGTGTTTTCCCCGGCTGCGCTGCTTCCCTTCTCCGGGAAGCCGCTTTTCAGCACCGCGGCGCTGTTCGCTGCCGTGTGACGCGGAGTTGCGCTGTCGTGAACGCGCGTCACCGCACGCTGCTGAGATCCGCGCTCCCTGGCAGGAGCGGCTGCTCAGTGCCGTACACGCATTCTGTTTGTCCTGTCATGTAAAACCGATGCCGAGATGTATTTTAAATGTTTTATTTATAGCGTTGTATATTATTATTTTATTACTACTACTACTCGGTGTAACATTATAATGAAACCTTTGGAATATTTTATTATTAAGGTTAAATAGGTTTCACATTAGTCATTAACATTTTTGAGAAAGTTTAGGAGATAGTGTGGAAATGCCATTCTCGGATCATTGAATCTGATTTTTACTATCACTTATCTACTGTACCACTGCTGTTTGTTGGATTAATTTAATGCTTTGTTATGAGGTTGGAGTCAATGGGTAGTTTGTATAAAACGTGTATTTTGGTAGGCTATATTATATGTCATTGTCTAGAAAATGGATATAGCCTACAGTACTATGCAAAACTCTTAGGTAGCCTCAGAAAATGGTGTTTCTAGTATCTTCACGTTGGTGTAAAACTGCGATATTATGTCTGTCAAAGCGTGACAGCTTAGGCGTTTCAAAAGCTGTCTTAAAATCACCGCAGCATTTGCAGCAACCGCCCGATACATCAATGTATTTTTTTTTATTCGATCACTACCCCACATTGTTTGGCTAATTAACATCCCATTGAGTTATTTAATAAATCAAGTTAATTAATTAATTGGGCCGGTGTAGAAATGTAATGAATACGTTGAATGGCTGAGGTGGCCCTAAGGAGAGGTGTGGGAACTGAAGGTGCTGTTCATCTAGCCATTCACCTATAGATATCAGTTCTTTTTGGAAAACAGACGGAATTCTTGTTTATTTTTTATTGTGTTGCTTTTAATTTGCATATGTTAAAATGTTAAATTGTTTTTTGTCTGTGCAAATACACAATTACTACCAAGATAAATAGCCTTAAACATTTTCTTTGACTGCCTAAGACTTTTACACACACACACACACACACACACACACACGGTATCGCATGCCTGTCCACCTGCACAGACTGTTAATTAAGCATTCGGTTCGATTTTGTAGTTCGGATCTCGACCTTCCGCTTCGAGTTTCAGCAGGTCTCTGTGGCATTTTTGTCCAAGTAGATTACTTATATTAGGTCCTCTCTGTTCTGCAAATAGAAAGGCAGTTTTAAGGGGGAAATAAAGGAATACTGAACGATTTTTTTTTTCTAAAACCTAGTTTTATTTAGGTTATAGCTCGCATCATCCTACGAATCAGAATTTCTAGAAAACTTCTAAAACTTGCTTTTAGGTCTGTCACGGATTATGCTGTAACGTTTCAAGTTTTGTGACGGTTTAAACCCCTATTGTATAAGAACTCGGACATTTCATTATTGTTTAAGTACAACAGATTTTCGCCGACGTTTTCTGTTTTTAGCAGGAGCTGACACGGTGGATTAGCAGGTGGCGTTTTCGCCTCCCAGCTCAGTTTGTTGTAACCTCCGGTAGGAGTGCAGCCCCCTCCCGAGGTCCGTGTGGGGGTCCTCTGGGTATTTCGCTTCCCCCTCGCGATGCAGTAACACGATGTTCAGGTGAACCGGTGACCAGGCTGCCTGAAATGCCCCCGGCACGCGCGTGTTTGTGTGTGTGTGTGTGTGTGTGTGTGTGTGTGAGAGAGAGAGAGAGAGAGAGAGAGAGGATGAACATGGATCGGCTGAACTAGTGGCCACATTAGGCCGACCCTGTGTGTGTGTGTGTGTGTGTGCGTGTGTGTGTGGGTCGGCGTGCATCACCTGCATGACCGTAAGCCCGATATTTTGTATTATCTGCATCAGAGAAGACATTCCTGATAATAGGTCATGTGCGCACTCAGTTGTTTTTGCCCTTCTATAAAACATTTTCACCGTTAACACACTGGGTGGAACTGGGGAATCTCACAAAGTGCGTTAAGAGCGTGTTTTATCGAGGGTTATGTGACTTCTTGGTCCGTTTGCCCCTTTCCCAGTTCGGGGCTTCTTGAGTAAAAAATCTTTCATTAGACTTATCCCCTACTGGAGTCTGTTTGTCGCTGATCGTTTTGCTTGCAATATAACCAACGAGGAGCTGCTGTATTATCTCGCGTCCCCAGACACCGGCACTGAATGGGGGAGGCGTAGCCTGCCGAGGGGAGCCCCCACCTAAGGGAGAGTTAAGGGACGCGTCCCCCATTTCCCTCACCCTCTGTCTGAGGATCACCTCCATGCCGAGTCTCCAGAAAACTAAAATGAGCGTTTTGGCAAATATAAGTATACAAACAAGTTGCTTCGATGTTACTTTCATTAAACAATAAACAGTCACACAGCGCTGCTGTGTTAATAAATAGCTTGGAATCAAAAGTGGATTCCAGGTAAAAATTAGTTTTAAATCAATCTAAAATGAAAACCTTACCATAGCCATGAGTAGGCTAATTAGTGAGGATTATGCCAGTATTTCTTGAAAAGACATTGAAAAGCGCTTTATGACAGAAACCAAACTTTATGGCTGTTGTTAAACTTTTTATAAGTGGATAATTTATGTCTGCAATCCCTTGACCCTTACACCATGTAATAAATATTTATGCTACATTACGCTTACGTGTATTAATTTCTAAAGCACACGTGTTTGTTCAAAGCAACATACAAGCGCCAAAGATGACGAAACCGAACTTATTTATTTATTAAGTAATGCGCTAAGGGATGACACGCCATGTAAAGGGTAGACTGCTCATATGGGTCGGAAACATCGATATCGCTGGGCGGCATTAACCATTACCGCCTTGTATTCGTTAGGTACATATTAGCTGTTCTGCGTCTCACTGCAAACGAAGCAGAGCAGTACCGTGGCGAGCATGACTCACTGAAGATGACTATTACTTTGCATGAATCATCGTCATTTTTAACCCCTCCCCTCGAGCTGTTTGTCATGTCTCTCAAGTTCTTCGGTAAAGAGCTGCTAAGTACCAGTTCATGATTTCAAAGGATGACCAGGCAGCCTGAATACGCACAGCTGGACTGTTTTACATAAGTGGTTTGTAAAGCATTGTGCGCCTGAAAATGGGGCCTCACAATGGTGTCATACACTAACACCCCCTGTGAGCTTTCGTAGTTCTACCCCTCTTTCAGCAGCAGGGAGAGCATTTAGCTAAAAGTCACACACCTGCAAGGTCTCTCCTTAACAGGCAAGGTCTCTCCTTAAACTGTCCAAGAGTATTTGCCTAGTGTAGCTTTTAGGATTTCTGATACAAAGGTGCATGTTAATTTTGAGGGAAAATATTGTAGTGTTGAAAGAGGCAGAAAATTAGTCAGGGAAAGTTGTAATAACAAAGTAGATTAAACCAGACTACATAAGAATTACTGCTTCGAGTCCAAAGGTCCCTTAGCTTTAAGTAAAATGTAATTTCAATTAACTGCTTCTGTGAAGTTCAAAGTATATGTACTTCAAAGAAATGATACAGTTTAGCGGCTATTTTTTCATACTGAAGAAAAGTTTATATTTTGATAAATAAGAATAGATGTTTTGTTAAATTTGCCGGTCTGTGTGTAAGGTTTGTGGTTGCGTTTACAGCGGACTGGGCCCCAGTCTTGTCGTTATTGACAGACAGCAGAGAGGCTAATTGGTTAACTGATGTCTAATGAGAATACCAGGGCCGCGGGAATCTTAGTGTTACCATGGCAGCTGTGGGAGACTGGAGGTTGTAATCCGATACTGGAAGCGGAGTGGTTTGGAGAGACATCAACCCACTGTCGACTCTCTTGAAGGGGCTGCATAGGAGCCGGGAGATTGTGTAGGGGAGAGCGGGCTGTGGTTACGTTATCTGTAATTACCCAGAATCCATTGTAATTACCCAGAATCCCTACAGCCTCCAGGGGAACATTCCCCACCACACATACGAAGCCTATACAGGGTTTGGAGGCCGATGCTTTGGCTTGTACTCTTAGCATCGGTGCTCTGCCAGCGAGGAAGCATGTAGCAACCGAGACCTTTTGGCTGGAAGAGCAGTTGTAACAGAAAGCAGTGGCGAATGAGATTGTGTTTCGCTGTCCTTTGGAAGAGCAAGGGCAGGCAATTGGCTGAAAATGCACTTACAGTCCCTAGATGTTATAAAACGATGCAAGATTCTCTTTGTAATTTTTTAATAAAAGAGCAAGCACAGCATTTATAAGATATGGACCCACCCGGGTTGACTTTATTGAGAAAGGTAACTCTGCCCTCGGGTAAATATTTACTGGTGTAGTGATAGTGCAAGTAATTTAATAATCCTGTTTGATGCTTGGCAATATTCATGGGGAACAATGATTGAGAGGCAC